ATTATTATTATTATTATTATTATTATTATTACTATTATTATTATTATTATTTTTGGTACCAGGGATTGAACTCAGGCCCTTGTGCTTGCAAGTCAAGCAGCGAAACCACTGAGCTAAGCCCCGGCCCGTAGAACTACCATTCTTAACCAAGACAGGAAGTATTTTTATATCTTGAAAAGTTCTAATTCATGACAAGTTTCTCCTTGCACATTTCACTCTTCTTTCTGCATAAGGCCCAGAAAGAGGTGTCATTTCATGGAAGTGGACATCTGTCACCTGTCCCAACAAAGTCCACAAAGTACCATGCAGGTAACCCAGAGCATTCAGCCAAATGTCCTGGTCAAGATTCCTGGACATACTGGTTCTAGCTTTAACATGGTCTTGTTGAAAAACGGGGCTGACCTTGGATAGTCCTGCCACCTTCCTGACTGGAAATATCCTGAGGATGCTGCTTCTCGTGGCTGCCTTGGTGTGGTTCTGTGGCAGCTGCTGGGCAGATTCATGGGGAGCCAGGCTGGGAGCCCTGAGCCCTGAGAGTGGGCAGCCAGTCCAGCAGGACATTCGCAGGAGTGGGACAGTGATCTTGACCTTTATCCAGCTGGCCTAGGAGTCCCCAAAGGGGCAGAATCACATCTTATTTATAAGACCCCACAAAGTACCTCAAAACTACAGACATTTGCTTTTTTGTTTTTTGGCTTTTTTGCTCTTTTGTTTTTGTATTGCCAGTGATGAATTCCAGGGTCTCATGCATGCTATGCAAACACTGAGGTACATCCCCAGTCCAAGACCAGCCAAGATCTTTTGAAAAAATCCTTTGACTTCATCCTTCCCACTTCATCTTTCAGTCCTTCCTGATGGCTAAGGGTTAGCGTACCAGCAATCTGAAGGCTGGGGTGAGAAAGGCCTAAAAGCACCAGCACCAATTCTGTCCTCTTTTAAAACATACTTAAGACTTGCAGGAGGCTCTCCTCAGTTATTTCAAACCAATTTCAGAATACTACTTCTGCTCCTTCAAACTCACCTTTCAAACTCAGGGAAATGAAGCCTTGCCAGACAAACTCTAGTGACAACTCCACTTACCTCCTGACATGTTGCTACTGAAGGTCAACAGAGCCCTGCAGCCAGAAGAGAGAAGAGAAAACAACTAAATGGAGACCATGTCCTCAGAGGTGATCACCTGTAGAAAGTCCAGTGCCTCGTTTTCTAGCTTTGAAGTCTTAAAATGCTATCTTCTTAACTTGACTAAAACAAACACACAATAAAAATGACTTGTTGCCACCTGCCTCGCAAGAGCAAGGACCCGAGTTCAATCCCCAGTACCAAAAAAAAAAAAAAGAAAAAAAAAACCCAACAAACAAAAGAGACAACTCATGAAGTCCAAATTCACACTTTCTTCCGAGTTGAGTCCATTTTTTGTATCCATGGTCCCAGTCAAGACAACACAACACATATGCATACAAATAAACACATACTGTATGTGACAAAGGTAACATTTTGTTACATATAAATATCATATACGCATGTCATATATAACACTGTCTTATCAAGAGTACCAATGACACAGGTAAAATCTTGAAGTCCTTTCTTTGCTTCTGGGGCACTGGTCCACAATTAGGCTAACCATTAAGAGATACTGTTGTCATCCATGTGTAACTCCTTCCGTTGTGTCCTTGTGCACAGCACTGGTCTATGAGCGTTCCCTGTTTAAGTGCCTGTCCCCCATCTGTACTCTGTACCTCTGGCGCCCTTTTCTCTGCCTTTGGCCACCAGATGGCATTCTGAAAACATTACCATCACTAGAGCTTTCTGCATCAAAGCTTCTCTGCAGAGCTCAACTGGCCTCCCTCCTTCTTGTTGGCTTCTTTCCAGGCTGTTTTCCAGAGTGCAGAGGAACAGCTCTCTGGAGGGCAAATCTACATGATCTTGAACAAGTTACCTACCGACTGGGCTCAGCTTCTTCAACCTGATGGCTTGGTTGTAAGAGTGGCTCTAGCGTACATAGGTAACACACTCAGGACAAAGCCTGGCATGTTGATAGTGTTCTCCTAGCCCACTCTGAGTCTCTCAAAAGCATGCCCTTCAGACAAGTCCTAAATCCTTAGCATGGAACCCAGGCCCGCCATCATCTGATGACTCCTGGTTTTGTCCCCAGTCCCATCTTCCTTCCCCGCAAACTGCAAGGGACCAGATCACCCACCTCAGGCTGTTGCTCGCTCTGCCCTTACCCTGCTTTGCCTTTTCCCTGTCCACCCACCTTCCCCTGGATGACTCCTCAATGTCCCCCAGGATTCAGTGTGCACCCTCCAGGAGGAGCCTCCCAGACCTCCAGGTAGGAAGCCAGAACTGCTGCCCTGAGCTTGTTTCTTTCATTTCCCCCACCCCCATCGAGACCAGCAGCCTTTTAGGGGTTTGGGGCTAGGATTAGGGTTAGGAACAGAGGTACCTGCCTGGTACAAAGGATAAAGGAAGACCAGACAATGAGGCTGTCACACACTCTGTTGGTCACTAGAGGGCAGTAAGTTCCCACTGCGGTCCTGCACTCACTCCAAGGGGCCACCTGCTCCTCACAGCACTGGAAGCACCTTGTCAAACTTGGGAAGAGGGAAACCTGGGAAACACGATTCCCGGCCAAAGCAAAGGAAAAAAAGGACAGGGCAAACGCATGGCCATCATTGCTGCTTGCATATGGGGCATTACCTAGAAGGTGAGAAAAGGTCAGTCACAGTCCTGACATGCTTTCTCCACGCCAGGACCTGCACTGGGCCCTTTATGTGTAAGTATCATTTCTCTTTACCTTAAACTCCTGGGATGGGTGACACCACACTCCAGAGAAGAGTGAGGCCCTCCGAGGTCAGGCCACCTGTGCAGTGTCACAAAGTGTGTGAGGGCCTGTTGGTCCCCAAAGCCACCCAAGCCTCAGACTTCGTGGATTCAGACTCCTTGCTATGATTCGGCGGTTTCAGTGAAATGGGTGGGAAAAGGTGGAATATAGGATGGATACAGGGTGAAAGGAAATAGAGGATGAGAGACAGAGGGAGCTGGAGGGAAGACCGATGGCCGTTCTTCAGACTCTCCAGTCCTGGGCCATGGGCCTCCGTGCCAACAAGCCCTGCCTGGTGTAACTTGTGGCCCCTGGGACCAACTGCAAACACACATCTGGGGAAACTGGCCTTAATTCCCAGCACCTCAAATCCTTTACCACCTCTGGAATCCTCCTTGAGGTGGTGCGTAAGGCTGGAAGGATATTGGGAGCAACATACTGAAGAGAAGAGTGAGAGGCAACAAGACCACCTCAAAGGCCACCTGAGCAAGCTGGCCATCACCTCCTCCCTGGACCTCTCCGCTGTGAAGAAGCCACACTCGGAAACATCTAGGGCCCTGCCTGGGAGCAGCAAGGGAGCTGCTTTTTGTGGGGTTCTGTTATGAACAGAAGTAGGGAGAGAATTGGAGGAAGGGAGGGAAAGACTTAGATGAAAGGGAGAGGAAGGTGTGGGAGCGGGAAATGTGTAAAAGTCTCCAAGCCAGAGGAGCAGCGGTGGGGGGTTCCCCAGACAGGGACTCAGGCTGGACCAGATGCAGAGAACAATAGGCCTCAGGGACGGGGCGGAAGGGCACGGGGAGGGGATTTACAAGTTGGGTCAGACAGGTCCTCACAGCTTCTGGAACCAAGGCCATGGGCATGCTCGTAGGTCACTGCGGGCAAGGGCTGCCCCGGGGCCAGAGCAAGAGCCAGCTGCAGCCACAAGGTGTGCAGATGACAACACCGACCCCAACAATAACATCACTGCTTGTGATTCAGGGCCAGGCTTAGGCCAAGGCCCTTCATGCATCACTTCATTTAAACCTCACGATTTCCGCTGAGAGGTCTGTTATTCTTATCCTCAGGCCCACTCTGAAAATGAGGTAATGGAGGTCCAGAGAGGTTAAGTGACTGGTCTCAAATGACCCGGCTACTAATAATAGTCAGAGTCAGGATTTGAACCCATGCAGTTTAGCTCTGATGGCTGCTCTGTTCATGACGGCCGCTTCCTAGAGAGACAAACATGGGTATTCAGGGCAAAGTCAAGACAGAGATAAATAAATGTGGGAAAAAGACCAGAATGGGAGGAGGAATATGGCAAAAAGACAGAAACAGAGGTGAGGAAGGGAAGAGACAGGCAGCAGCTCAAGTTCTCTGCTCACTGGCTGTGGAGAGTCGCTTGTCCCTCAGCAGCAGCCTTGCTGTGTGGACAGCACCTTCCCATCTGGACTGTCCGGGAGGCCCTGGCCTCATCCTCTCCTCATCCTCCTCAGCAACAGGCCACTCAGCTTCACAGGAAATGCTCTTTCTCTAATTGGCATTGAAATTCACAGCCCTCCCTTTTCCTGTAGGTGGGGTTTCCATAGGAAAAAGCTGCTTCTCTGTTTCCCCAGTCTAGTAACTATTTGGAAATTAGATCCCCACATCCTGCTCTTCTGGGTCAAGTCTCTCTTGGACCAGCTCTCGCCCATCACTGCTACTGCGAACTGGCGATTTTACTTCATTGGTACTTGGACCTCTCAGATAGCTTCCGTGAAGATGGCCTTGCCTGGGAGTCCTACTTGTTCCACCACCATCTTCTAATTATGGGACGAAGTTGTGTCTCCCGGCCTGGGGGTAAGAGAACAGGGCTAATTAAGCCATCCAGGAAACACTGGAGGACTTGCCCAGACCCTGAAGAGCTCTAGCGGTTTCTGAATCCGGCGGTAAGCATGATACCACTTCTGCAGTTTCTGCTGGGGATTTTGGGGCCAGGTGGCTACTTGTTCCTTTCAGGGGACTGTCAGGAGGTAGCCACTCTCACGGTGAAATACCAAGTGAGAGAGGAAGTGCCATCTGGCACAGTGATAGGGAAGCTGTCCTGGGAATTGGCTCAGGATGAAAGGTCCGGGCCGGTGAGAGCTACCTTCCAGGTCTTGCAGCTGCCTCAGGCACTCCCCATTCAGGTCGGCAGGGAGGACGGCCTGATCAGCACTGCGAGGCGGCTAGATAGAGAGGACCTATGCCAGCAGCAGGATCCCTGCCTGCTTTCCTTGGACGTGCTTGTAAAGGAGGAGCTGGCTCTGATCCATGTGGAGATCCAAGTGCTGGACATCAATGACCACCAGCCACAGTTTCCCAAAGGGGAGCAGGAGCTGGAAATCTCTGAGAGCGCCTCTCTACACACGCGGATCCCTCTGGACAGAGCCTCTGACCCAGATACTGGCCCCAACACTGTGTACTCCTACAGCCTGGCCCCCAGCGAGCACTTTGCCCTGGATGTCATTGTGGGGCCTAATGAGACCAAACATGCAGAACTTGTGGTGTCGAAGGAGTTGGACCGGGAAGTCCACTCATTTTTTGATCTGGTGTTGACTGCCTTTGACAGTGGGAACCCCCCCAGGTCAGGCACTAGCTTGATCAAGGTCAATGTGCTGGATTCCAATGACAATAGTCCTGTGTTTGCTGTGAGTTCCCTAGAACTACAAATCCGAGAAGATGCTGCCCCTGGCACTCTCCTCATAAACCTGACTGCCACAGACCCTGACCAAGGCCCCAACGGGGAAGTAGAGTTCTTCCTTGGCAAGCACATGCCTCCAGAGGTATTGCACACTTTCGGTGTCAATGCTAAGACAGGCCAGGTCACTCTACGCCAACCCCTAGACTATGAGAAGAATCCTGCCTATGAGGTGGATGTCCAGGCACGGGACCTGGGTCCCAATTCCATCCCAGCCTATTGCAAAGTCTTCATCAAGGTTCTGGATGTCAACGACAACGCCCCAAGCATCCGCATCACATGGGCCTCCCTGTCGTCACTGGTGTCTGAAGCTCTTCCCAAGGACAGTTTTATTGCCCTTGTCATGGCAGATGACTTAGACTCAGGAAAGAATGGTCTGGTCCACTGTTGGCTGAATCAAGATTTGGACCACTTCAGGCTGAAAAGGACTAACGGCAACACATACATGCTGCTAACCAATGCCACACTGGACAGAGAACAATGGCCCAAATACACCCTTACTCTGTTAGCCCAGGACCAAGGAGCCCACCCCTTATCAGCCAAGAAACAGCTCAACATTCAGATCAGTGATGCCAATGACAACGCACCTGTGTTCGAGAAGAACTGGTACGAGGTCTCCACTCGGGAAAACAACCTACCTTCTCTTCATCTCATCACCATCAAGGCTCATGATGCAGACTTGGGCATTAATGGAGAAATATCATACCGAATCCAAGACTCCCCAGTTTCTCACTTAGTAGCGATTGACCCAGACACAGGAGTGGTCACTGCTCAGAGGTCACTGGATTACGAAGAGATGCCCAGCTTTGAGCTCCAGGTGATAGCAGAGGACAGAGGTCAACCCCAACTTGCATCCAGCATCTCTGTGTGGATCAGCCTCTTGGACGCCAATGATAATGCCCCAGAGGTGATTCATCCCGTACTCAGCAATGGAAAAGCCAGCGTCATGGTGCTTGTAAATTCCTCCACAGGTCACCTTCTGGTGCCCATCGAGACTCCCAATGGTTTAGATCCAGTAGGTGCTGATACACTTCCACTGACCACTCACAGTTCCCGGCCATTCCTGTTGGTGACAATTGTGGCAAAAGATGCAGACTCTGGGGCAAATGGAGAGCTCCATTATAGCATTCGAAGTGGGAACGAGGCCCATCTCTTTGGCCTTAGCCCCGACCTGGGGCAGCTATTCATCAATATCACCAATGGCAGCAGCCTCATAGGGAGTGAGTGGGAGCTAGAGATAGTGGTAGAGGACCAGGGCAGCCCTTCCTTGCAGACCCAAGCCCTTTTGAGGGTCATGTTTGTCACCAGTGTTGACCACCTGAGGGATGCTGTTCATGACCCCAGGGTCCTGAGTACATCAGTGCTGATGGTGATTTGCCTGGCTGTACTGCTGGCCATCTTTGGGTTGATCTTGGTTCTGTTCATGTCCATCTGCCGGACAGAGAAAAAAGACAACAGGGCCTACAACTGTCGGGAAGCTGAGTCCACCTACCACCAGCAACCCAGAAGGCCCCAGAAACACATTCAGAAGGCGGACATCCATTTGGTGCCTATGCTCAGGGGCCAGGCAGATGAACCTGGCCAAGTCGGGCAGTCCCACAAGGATGCAGGCGAGGAAACAATGACGGAAGCAGGCTGGGACCCCTGCCTGCAGGCTCCCTTTCACCTCACACCTACCCTGTATCGGACCCTTCGTAACCAAGGCAACCAGGGAGCCCTGGCAGAGAGCCGAGAGCTGCAGGACACTGTCAACCTCCTTTTCAACCACCCCAGGCAGAGGAATGCCTCCCGGGAGAACCTGAATCTTCTGGAGTCCCCACCCACCCCAGGTCAGGCACGAGCAAGGCCCCTGAAGGGCAGCCCCACAGGAAGGCTGCCTGGAGAGCAGAGCGGCGAGGCGGTGCCACAGAGCCCACCAGCCTCCACGGCAACCCTGAGGCGGCAGCGGCATCTCCACGGCAAAGTGTCCCCTGAGAAAGAATCGAGCCCCCAGCAGATTCTACGGAGCCTGGTCCGGCTGTCCGTGGCTGCCTTTGCAGAGCGGAACCCCGTGGAGGAGATCACTGTGGATTCTCCGCCAGTCCAGGTACCTCGGGCATGGGCAGCTCTTTCTCTGGTCACCCCTGGATTACTGCCAACAGCATCAAACACCCCTGCTCCGCTCGTCTTCCTTACATTCCTTCATTAGGCTCCCCGAGCACTTTATAATGAATTCTTTCTGTGAGTAGCAAAGATTCCAGGGTCAACAGATCTTCACTGTGTGATCCTGAGCAAATTACTTACTGTCTCTGAGACTTCATTTCCTGAATGTTAAATTAGGAATGATGGTAAGAGTTTCTGCCTCAGAGAGTTGTCCTGGGGATTTGATCAGTTAATTTTTCTCTTTTTTAAAATCCATTAATTTCTATAATGCACTTGTTCACAGTCCCTGGCACAAGTAGACACAAAATGTAGTGATTATGAATACAAGCTCAGGAGCAGGTTGCCGGGGTCTGAATCCTGGTTCGACTTCCTCGTAGCTGTTACTCACAGCTATTACACAACCTCTTTGTTGAAGATGTCCACGTTCACAGCACCCATCTCCCAAGTTTTCTTAAAGATAAAATGAGTCAATGCTCTTAATGCCAGCAGAACAGTGCATCTGGCATATGGTCAGTGCTCAGCAAAACTTTACTCCTACATCCCTGCTCTCTCCCTGCCCTCACTGCCTCTTGGCCCACTCCTTAGGAAACAGGTCAGCCTGGACACCACTGCCCCCAGCCTCTAGGACTGCATTTGACCCCAAACGCTTACTAGCTGGTGCTGCAGGATCAGCAACAGAAAGAACTGTATAACTTTGGAATTGGGCAGATCTGAGTTTAACGTTCAACACAGCCTCTTAGGAGCCAGGCAACCTTGGGCAAGTCCTTTAACAGCAGACCCTCATTTTTTTTAAATCTATAAAACAAGGATTGCAGTGCCAGACTTACCCCGTGTCTACCTGGATTAAATAGGGTGATGAATGGCAAGCTGCCGCGTAACGGGATTCACCAGACATAAATGGGGAATCCTTTCAGGGACGGTGCTTTCCCCGTGCCAGGCTGTCTGCTCACAGCACTCTTCTGTTTGGCCAGGCCACCGGCTCAGGTTTCCTGTGGAGCAAGGACAGAGTTTCCTTCCCATACTCCCTTTGCAGGAAGCCACCTGGAGAGGGCTCAGTTGTTTTCTTAGCAATCATGCCCTGGGCTCCCTGAAGCTGGAGCCCTCTATCTCTTCATCCATCCATCCATCCATCCCTTATTTCATCAAATGCTTTCTGGACGAACCCTTTGCGCCAAACACTGTGCTGGGTGCTGGCAGAAAGGACAGCAGAGAGCAGGCAGTGTGGGTGAGAGCACTGGGTGATGGAAGGAAAGGTGCCCACTTGGCATGAACTTGAAGGTAAGAGACTAAGATGCTCAATGCTCACGTCCTGGCAGCAGCGCAGCACCCAGTGGAGTCACATCTTGAGTTCAGGGTCCAGCTCCAATTGCTATGCAGCCCGTGAGCATCAGGTTCCATCTGTAGAAAACGAGTGTCACCCATCTTTTCCTATACCACCAGACAGTTACTGGGCGCCTGTCATGGGGTCTGGGTCTCATTACTGTTTATTTATTTATGTGTTTATTTTTACTGTTAAGGAAACTGAGGCTCAGAACATGTAGCCGGGGACTAGGACAGGAACAGATTTAGAACATGAACCTGAATCTGACTGAACCCAGTCTGAGTTCTTCCTATGGAGTGACCCTAACGGGCACATTCAACACAGAGCTTGGCACGCAGGAACTTTGCTGAGTGTCACTGAGCAGAGGGTAGCAGTTGCCTTATGAGGATTTCTGGGCCTGGGCTGGCAGGTGGGATCTGCTCTGAGGCTGGCAAGGAAGATGTGACCTACTCAAGTCCCAGTGAAACTCCAGTCCCCAGTGCCCTCCTCTTCCAAAAGTCCTCTGAGGTTGGCACTTCTGGGCCTCCCTAGAGGGGGATGAGGTTGGGCTAGGAGGTAAAGGAAGTATTTCTAAGAGTATCAACCTAAACTCTGTATTCACAAAGACTTAACTATTTAAAAGCATCTAATTAACACTGACAATTCTTTGAAGAAAGCTAGCATCACTTTAGAGATAAGCGATGAGGAAACTGAGGCCTGAGTAGTCTAAAACTCTGCCTGGTGTCTTACAACACGTTAGAAATGGCCTTGAACTAAAACTCAGTCTTCTAGGACCTGGTCTGTTGCCTCTTTCTCACAAGGCTCTGAAGGGGAGGCACTGAGAACTCATCCATTTCGCCCCTTTCTCCAGCCTTTTGGCTGGCAGTGCCCCTGCATGCAGCCCTCTCACCCCTTAGCCAGACCACACTTTCCATCTACCTTCGCAAGTCCTGATCAGTCTTGAGTCTGAGCAGAGCTTCCAGGCATGTGGTAGGAGCACAAGAGACATCTGTTGAAATGAAGGAGAGAAGGTCACAGTGGTGTGGCTACAATCCCAGCTATGTGGGAGGCTAAGGCAAGGGGACACTTGAGCCCAGGAGTTCAAGGCCAGCCTGGGCAACAGAGTAAGAGCCCTGTCTCAAAAGAAAATAAATACAAGAAATGAATAAACTTCCCCCAGTACCACTCACCCCCACACACTTCCTCCCTGTTCTAACTTGCATTTGAGGGGGCCTCCTCTGCTCCTAAGCACCCCATCCTTTTCTAACACTCAGACACAGTCCCCTGTTGTAACCACACTTCCCTGCTTCCTGATGGGCAGGCCATGAGCTCTGAGTGCAGCTATAGAATCTCTTCCTCATTCTTATTCCTGCAGCAAGCATCGCTCCTGGCCCAAACAGCCACTTATTACATCTCTGTTTGATGAATGAAAGGGTGAACAAATGAATGATTAAATGACACCGTTTTGCCTTCTCTGCAAAGTCTCACATCTGGTCCACATAATTTGGCCAGAGTGTTCAAATATTGCAAAAAGGGGAAAATAATTCTTGAGGACAATCCTTATCTAAGTAATAATGCCTTTATGATCAGGAAATGCCTTTTTCACTCCATCCACAGAGTAGACTAGGAGCAGGTCACTCGGGGGAGTGAGCACGAGGGGCAGGGCTCGTAGGGCTCCCACCCTGTCCTCCATCTGACGACCAGGTCCTGGGCGACATGGCGCAGCGGGGGATCTGAGCTCCAGGTCCCTGTCTCCATCACCAGAAACCATCCCCCATCTGATCACACAAACATCTGAAGCCAGAGGAAAGACTATAAAAAGAAAGCACCAGTGTTGAAGGAAACATCCGGTGAGGAAGTGTGCTGGGTCGGAATTGTGTGGAGTCAACAGATTTTTCCTGTCTTGTAGCAAATCTCCCAGCTGCTGTCCTTGCTGCATCAGGGCCAATTTCAGCCCAAACCGAACCACCGGGGAAATAAGTACTTGGCCAAGCCTGGCGGCGGCAGGTAAGCAGCACGTAGCCTCCACACAAGTCTTGGGGGGCACCCTGAACCCACACAGCCTCAGTGAGGGAGGAAGAGCATGTATATCCTCGACATTGGTCCCTGGGTGAACTAGCAGGCAGGGTCCTGAGTCCTGGGGCTGCTGTATTTACAGTATTTACAGGACCCAGAGTCCCTATGGAAATTATTTCCTCCTGAGCTCTAAATATTTCTCCCCTGATTACAGAGGTGCTAAAGATTGGCTTAAAATCTGTAACTTTCACCTTTCTTTCTCTCAACCCACAAACATAGCATACATGGATGGGGACCTGTGGATGTGCCCCTTTAGGCAGTTGTAGACTTTCAGAGAACTCCAGAGGACATAGGATCTAATTTCTCAATACAGATGGATAAATGGAGGCTCCCAGTTTGATTCATCCAAACTGTAAACTTGAGCCACTCAGATAATCTCTTAGGACTCAGTTTCTCCATTTGTAAAATGGAGGCCATGCCACCTCTCTTGTCGTGATGAGGTAAGAATGTAATGATCAAATGTTTTCTAAATATCCCAGTTCCTGGCCCTTGGCAGGTGCACAAGCACTTCTAAGTCCTTCCTCCTTCAAGTGACTTCACTCAAGGTCATAGCAAGTGAATGGCAAAGCTGAGACCAGCTCTCAGAGCTTCTGACCCCTACTTTAGTGCTTTTGTCCTGATAACTTGTAGCTTCTTTCTGGCAAGGATGGTGAGAGGTACTGTACAGCAGGGGTGAGTACTGTAGGGAACTTCAAATTTTCTCTGAAGTTTCCTTTTTTTTTTTTTTCCTTTTGGTACCAGGGATGGAACTCAGAACCTTGTGCTTACAAGGCAGGCACAGGGTGCCTCTGAGCTAAATCCTCAGCCCTGAAGTTTCAAAATTTGAATCTGCTGATATAAACTAGCCATAGATTAACAGAAGAAAAGCCACAGAACAATTTTTTGATCATAGTTTTATGTGACATAGGAGACTTCAGATTGAACACCCAAAGATGCAGGGCAAACTGTGTTTATGCTTACCTTCAATAAATCAGGGACAGCTGTGTGAAATGTGATTGGATGGAAAGCGTATGAGCTAATGGAAATAGAGTAAGGAGGAAACTCTCAGTCTGTTCAGCTTTGTCTTGGCCTCTGTGTAGCATTCCTTCCTTCCAGGTGTGGGGCAGGACCCTTTCTGGAAGGGGGATCTTTTGACCTAAAACCAAACAAGGTAGGTCAGAATTTCTGTGCGGCCAACTCTTACACCAAAAGGTGAGGAAAAATCAAGGCTAATGTTTTTGGCTTTTATGGCCACCTTTGAGGAAAGGAGGATCTGATTTCTATGATCTGCCTTGGGAAAGAGGAACTCTAGTTTCTATGGCTTGCCTTGGAGGAAATGAAAAACAAGCCAGAGAAGAACAAGGGTGGAGGTCAGAGAGAAACTTTCCTTCTGAGGCCTTCATTTCGGGGAATCCTTTTCTGAGCCTGAACAGTACACACATTCTAGAGTCACACTGGCCTGGATTTGAATTCTTGCTTTTTGCTTAATCCATGGGGACCTTGGGCTGCAAAATCTTTCCAAGTCTTAGTTTTCTTATTTGGTGACAAGAGAATCCCTCACATGTGTGAAAGATTAGAGTGAGACAGCACATGAACCTTGCATGGCATGAGGCTCATAGCTCAAAAAACCCTAGCTGTCACCTCCCACCAGCCTCTTCCTAGCAGCAGAAATGTCCACGTGGTTGGGGGACTACAACCAGGATGGACTCCTAAGCCTTAAAGCCCTCAGGGAGCCTTCGCATCTGCTGCAGTGAGGCTCCCTGAGATGGAGGGGTTAGGGTGGAGCCAGTAGGAGACAGGTGGTAGACAGGAGCATTTTTAGGGTGCCCCACCCAGCAGAATCCTCCATAGGCCCGCTCTTCTGGTGTGAGATTTGGCTTACATGGGGAAGAAGAAATGTTCAATTACAATTCAGTTCCACAGTGTTTATTAAATACCTACTGTGTGCACAGCACTGGTGAGAGAGCAGAGAATGGGACAGACAAAAGCCCAGCCTGGCTGATGATGGGTGGGTGCCTTGCACTGACTCAAGTTTACTGATCTCTTGCTCAGTGCCGTGCAAAAGCATGGGAGGGACAAAGGTGAGTGACAGTGCCCGTGAATTCACATTCACTTCTGCTTGCTGAGTGCTTACGCCAGGCCAGGAACTACGCTGATCCCCTCACTTACACAGTCTCTTTACAAGACCCTGTGAGGTGCATGTTATGTATTATTCCCATCTTACAGATGGGGAAAGAGTACGCGGGAAGGCTGGGATCGTAATCCAGGCTGGTCTGACTCGAAAGGCCAGGTTGTGTGGTCAGTTTCCTGTGGGGACAAATGAATGCAGGCATGAATGAGCAAAGCCCACCGGGAGTTCCCCTCTTGTGAATGGCTGGTTTCCTTCCCAGGAGTGCAGTCCCGGACACAGACGGCCCAGGGACCAAGGCTGGTGGCCAGGCAGAGCCAGACCTGGAGGAAGGGCCCCTAGACCCCGAGGGGGACCTCTCCGTGAAGCGGCTGCTAGAAGAAGAGCTGTCAAGCCTGCTGGACCCCCACACAGGTAGGGACTCGCCACCTCCACTGGATCCCTCAGGTGCTGAGGCTTCCTAGTTCTGCTCCAATCCACCACAGGAGGAGCAGCCGTTCTATTTCTGGGGAGGAACATCAGCAACATTTTATTTCCCTTGGTGCTTCAGAAAGAGTTCTTTTCTCTAAAGACCAAGTTCTATTTTGGTTATTAATTTTAAAAATCATGGTAAGAATTGTGAACTATTACTGAGCTCTTGGCCTGTGCGCCAGGCACTAGGAAGCACCTTATACACTTATCTCATTTAAACTTCATCTATAAAGGAGCAAATTGAAGCTCAAAGACGGAAATGAGACTCTGAGCCTGCCCAGAGTCACCTAGTTCCTCCATGACCAAAGGGAAGCCAAAGCGGGACCAGTTTTAATTCCTAAACTACACATTAGCAATGCTGTGGTGTATAAATGCCCTTTCACCTCAGTAACTGAGCCAACTCTTTAATGTACTAACACTTCTAATTGAAACAACAAAAAAAATTTTTTTTGGTAGAGAAACAATTGTGACAATTAGGACATAAAGTGAAATTTAATTCAAGATTCCACCATCTACCTCACCCCTGTGAGGACAAGGATCAGCTCCCTTGTGGAGGCACACCCTTCACCTGACCACCCTAAGCTGTGGTTTCTGTTTCTGTAGTTAACAAGCTACTACCTCTCCTGTGCTCCATCTGCTTGCAAACGTGTGGAAGGCATGGCAGGGACAGCCCTTCTTTTGGTTAAAAAAATACAGCTAACTTTTACTGAGTGCTCTTTAGATGCTAGTCCCTTTTCTAAGTTTCTCATGAGAAAATCTTGTGAGAGGGGCTATTCATCAACCCCATTTCATAAAGGAAAAAAACACTGAAGGTCAAGGGTGTTTAATAATTTGCCTACGGTTGTGCAGCGAATGGTTATTAGCATGGGGAGTGTGACGAAATTTTACAACACTGTGCTGTTCAATACAGTAGCCACTGGCCACATGTGGCTCTTTAAATTTCAATGAATTTAAATGAAATATTCAGTTCCTTATTTACACCAGCCACATTTCAAGTGATCAGGACCTACCCTGGGTTATCAGGTAGATTCTGTCTCATCTCTATCACAGCTGGGAATGAAACCTGAAGGCTCAGCCCCTACCCTGTTGTGCCTTGGCAGTGAGGGACTATGTGTGAGGGACAGGGAGGAAGTGGGGATAAGAAAGCCCTTTTGCTGCTCATAGGCCTGGAGCCGAGGGTGGAGCTGGGTCTTGGTGATCAGATAAAAGTCAGTGATGACGACAGTATTTTATGGTTGAATGAGCTCACTGAATTCTCACAATGATGAGTGTTACTTTCTCAGCACTTGTGAGGGAAAAAGGAAGTGCAGAGGGGTTAAGCCATTTCTCCAAGGTCATAGTACTCCCAGCTGGCAAAGATGAGAAGTTAAACTGGGGGGCGGGGGGCTCAGAGGATGATGCCAGGTGGGTCCACAGCGCTTTTCAGCTATTCTCACTCACCCAGCAGTTGCCCATTCTAAGCTTCACTCCTGAAGCGGAGCCTTGTACCATGTCAGGAAAGGTCTGATTCGGTACCATCCAGGGTTCCGTCCAACCCTATCACCTCAGAGCCTCATGGAACTAGGTTTACAGGTCCCAAATGTCGAGGATCAATATTTATGTTCATTAATCATTCAGCAGACATTTGCTAAATCCCAGGCACGAGGCCAGACCCCAGGATCCAGCGGGGCAGGGACCCGAGCCTGCCTCACAGCCTGCACAATCTAGAACTGACTGAGAGACAGAGAAATATTTATCAGTATTAAAAAATGATTAGCTGCACTTTGGAATAATTTTTTTTTCAAATTACAGAAGCAGTATTCAGTTAATGTAGAAAAATATAAACGAGAGGAAAAAAGTCACTCCTGTCCAGGGGTAATTTCAGTTAACACTTTGACCTATCTCCTGCTGGAGCTTTGTGCCCCTGGTTCTGGAGATTGAACTCAAGGTCTTGGCAATGAGCTACAACCCCAGATCTTTGGGTGGGGGGGTACCAAGGATCGAACTCAGGACCTTGCACTTGCCAGGCAGGCATGGCACCACTGAGCTAAATCCCTGGTCCCCCGGACTC